CTATCATATCTAAACCTCCGTCACCTTCAGTAACTTGAATCTTTTGTACTATAAACCCAGCATCATTAAAGATTTTATGAAGTAAATTTTTGAAATCATGACCTTTTTGATAGTTCGTCACCTAAATAAAATTAAATATTAGTATAATTGTTTATTCTCTCCGTGGGTAGCGGACGACTTCACAAAAGATATAACTTAAGAGACCATCTCGCGTTTCTAGCAAAAATAAGAATTATCCTTGAAAACTAATCAAATAGTTTTACTCAGAATAATTCCCTAATGCAATATAGAAAAGCGTACACTAAACAATTATATTACTAAGTAAAATTGAACTTCGCCAACTTACTTTTTTCACAGTAGTCATTTTTACGTAGTTAAAAATCTGTTCAGTAAAGCACTGAACAGAGTATTTATTTTTAATAAAAAAAAAAGACAACAAATGTATAAAAAAAAAAATAAAACTAAAACTATGCAGGACTCGAAGCTGACGAAACTCCATTTACTTCTGAATTGACTCTATTCAATTCTGAATTAACACCATTCACCTCCTCTTTTTCTTCTTTCTCCTCTTTGCTAACACGTTTTCTCTTCCTGTTATGTTGAGTTAGTTTAGTTTTAATCGTTTCAACAATCTCCTTCTTTTTAACTTCCAATGTTGGTGTTAACATATATTGACTTTTTTCAAACTCAGTTAAAGTACATTGAATCCATTCATCACTTTTGGTCAGTTCAGTTCGAATCGGGAATTGGTTAGGTTCGAGAATCGAGAAATAGACAAGAGTTTTATATAGAGATTCTTCGGTATTGCCGGGAAAAACACAAGATCCTTCGTATTGACAGATATAATTCAATTCCTTAATATCAATCTCAGCTTCTTCATGAACTTCCCTAAAAGCGCATGATTCAAATGTCTTGTTGGGTTTGACCAACCCACCAACCGACTGATACAAATTGTAGTAATGTTTCTCAGGATTATTGCGACGATTTAACCAAATAGTGTTGTTTGGAGCAGGATTCACCAAGAGGCAAAGAGAAAATTCCTTTCGGGTTGATTCAATTTCATCCATAATTTTCTTATGTTGAATAAGAAGATTTGTGTTCATATCGAGCGCAGACTCGATTTGGGTTGTAGCTTTATCTAAATCGATTGAAATACTATAATTTTTTGCTTTGGTAAAGCTATTTAAAAACGAATAATATTCGCTGTTTAAATTTAAAATCGATTGATAGTTTTTGGACACGTTTTGATATTTCTGGTAAACTGCCATTTTTTTTTAAAAAAAATTACGCAGAAAAAAATTTAATCAGTTTATTAAACTGATTAAATAGAATTAAATTGTAAACTTTGAGAAGAAAAAGAAGAATCATCCATCATTAGCTCATTATCAGAAAAAAACACAGAATCATTTTTAACAAAACCCTGTTGAATATATGATGCGTTTATATCATCCTTAATAACAAACCCATCATCAGTAATATAATTCGAATCACTGTCCGATTTTGGAGAATTCGTGTGAATCGATTCTGAATTGTCCAGATCTTCCGATTCACATTTATAGCAGAAATTTTCGATAGTAAGAATATCATTACACCTCTTACAGTAATAAGTTTTGCTTTTTTCTTTTAAATTATTGAATCGTCTTTTGTTAAAAGCTTTATGATAAGATATGTTTCGATAATTATGTTTCAGTAATTGACGAATTCGTTTACTATATCTGACAAGTATAGTATAATTATCGAAAATTCGTTTCTCTATATTGAAATTAAAACATTCACTATGCTCTTGAAGAAAATGTAAATTGTTTGTAAGATCGGGATTCATTTTTTTTTTTACATATAAAATTTCTATCCGGTCAAAGACTGAATAGATAGATAATGATATAAAATAACAAATAACAAGAAACAAAAAAAAAATAAAACTAATTACTCTTCAAGTTCGGCAAGCACCTTTTGAATATTTTTGGGTGCGAAACTATAAGCTGTTTTAACTCCCGCAATGTTATCTTTAATATCCTTTACTTTCGGCCAATATGGATGACTCCTGCTGTTTGGCAATCTTTTTTCAGTTTCTTTTAACTTTTGATCATAATGATTACATAACTTCAAGTATTTACTCAAGAAAATTTTTTGTGATATTTTATCGCTAATAGCCTTCTCATAAGCTTTCTTATCAATTTCTGTCGCAACCTCATAATTCTTCATATCGAGGAACTTTTCAATTTCTTCTTGAGTAAAAGCATTCTTGGTATTTACTTTGTTTAATTTATCGTAAATTCTACGATGTTGGAAACTGGCTCCAGTCTTAACCCCAGTCATATTCTTCACAAACGCTTCATATTTGTTTGAAAATAGCAGTTTGATTTGTTTCTCTAAATTCTTCAATAGAAATAATTTTGTCTTGTAGACAGACTCTAGTTCATCAAGAATATTAATTTCTTCATTTAACTCATTTAAAGTTTCATCTTCGATCTCGTTGGCTATTTCATAACCTTTTTTTTCAACCAAATCATCTAGTTCAGATTCAGTAAATTGAATGAGTTTTTGAGTGTCTGACATGTTTAAGATTTATGATTTACATACAAAAAAATCTAGTTGGTCCAAAGACTAACTAGATTAAGATTTGTTATTTTTATTATTAATAAAACAATCAAAATAAAGA